AGCGCTGGCTGGGAGATTCTGGGAGTTGAAGTCCACCCATCTTCAAGCTTCCAAGGTTGAGAAACACTGGTTTAACTGGATGTGATTTTCTTCTCAGATGAAGGCTAGCTGGATCGTGGAAAGAAGGCAAATGTGATTTGGTAGCCTGGTTACAGGCCCTCTGGTGTTCCTTCCCCTTTATATGAATTGGTAGGATTCACCCCATAGCAAGTGCACTTAGGACAGTAGTGATGGAAAATGCTACACAAAAGATGGCTTGGGGGGGGAGGTTCAGGGACCCTTTGTAATGATAACAGTGGCGCTGCTTGGAGCCCGGACTTTCCTCCTGGGCAGACATCCCCCCCCCCAATCCTTCACTACTGGGGGTGGAAGCTCATCTTGCTTTGATCTACACCTTTCCTCACCATTGTTTTCTACTTTTCCCTCCCCGGAAAAGAAGAGAATGGAAAGAGGCAGAAGGCAGACTTTCACAGTCAATACTGAAATATACCATGCCTTTTCCAGACCTCCTTTGTTTTGGGCAAAGAAGAAATGGGGAGGGGTGCTATGAGTGTAGAGGGCTGGTTCTGGTTAGATCACAAAATCCCTTTCCCTGGCAGATCAGCAGGGAAAGGGATCCATTGCCTTCAGATTTCTACTCCAATAAACAGCTTGATTTTTATGGAGTCATCCCCTACAAAACATATAGTGGTTCTCCTTAAGGGTCATAAAACCCAATAGCATCATATTGAATAGCATGTGCACAAATGCATATCGTGTGCATATATCCATATACATAAACAAGATACACACACACACACACACACACACACATCCTTGCTGCAATCAAATGTATGAATATTGCATATTATGTGCATCTCATATTTTGTTTTTAAAAATATGGTTGCTATTCTTTTGAAATATTTTACCTTTTAAGGTGAAACAGCATTTAGCCAGCCTCAGATCTGAATAATCAAACAAACCAAAAGAAAACAACCGCAACACCTATTTCCTTATAATAAAAACTCACCTGGTCTCTTTGAAATTTATTTTTCACTAGGCATTCATAGGATTGTGCTAAAAGAAAAGAAAAGGAATCTCTATAAAATGGACTGTTTGCTTTTAAGTGTAAACACATACATACCACAATCCATTCCAGAAGAAATTCCTAGAATTTGTTTTTATCTTCAGTCTTCTCTGAAATGTTTGAGAAATTCTAACAAAGTTAGTTCCTTTTGGATTCACACTGTGATCCAGTTGATTTCTTCCTCTCCTGGTCTGGATGGTTTTATATCTTCTCTATCTTTTTATCCATCTTGTTAAAGCAAAGTTATGATCTTCCAGAAATGGACTGATTTGACTCTCCCCCGACAGCATCTAGCCTGACCAACTCCCCTGAGATGAGACTTGAAGTCCAGGCCAAATCATATTGATTTTTCCTCCCCTTTTTGCATGCTCTGTCCTACAAGGCAAAATATCCCAAAGCTAAGAATCTCTTCCACTATCAGTGAAAAACAATACTTTCTATTCAATTGGGACTTGTTATGTACAGCTATTTAAAATGCACAATAACTATTATTTGTTTTAAGAAAAAGAAATCATGTCCATTCAAAAGTAGCAACATATATTTTGAAGTAGTCAGTAATCATTTGTTTTCCAAAACTGTTCTACAAGGGAGATAGCGTGCAAAGGCACCTCATGATTTTTATGAATGTACAATATTGATATAGGTCCTATCATTTCTCCATTGTTTTAATATCAATATTACAATGACCCCATCACCGTTATGTACTGTGTATCATCTAAAAAGTGTGCCAGGACTGAAGTTTTTCTGTGGTATGAGGAAGTACGATTTGCCCATATTTAGAGTGATTGCATAGATTAAAAGAAATTCTGGTACTACAGTGTTTAAGAAACTACTCAAATAGAAAATGCATACAGTATGTTTGAAAGGAGAAAGAAGAAAATAGATCAGGCAATTCCACCCCACCCCCAACCCCTTTATGGCTTAAATCTCAGGAAGTGCAGATCACATTGTGAGATCATCTCCTTAATCCCTCATTTTCAGACAATTTGGCTAAAAGGGGATGGGATCTCGACTAACGGGACTTCAATTTGCCCCTTGTTGGGAAAACCCTTTTCATTGTATTATTCATTATTGCAATATTATAATATTATATATTATTATAATGCAGTATTATAATTTATTATAATATTACTTTTTATAAGTCAAGAGCTCAGCAAACAGAGCGCGCGGAAACCAAAATAATCACCTTGTTTTGACAAACCTTTATTAATGTTTTGAATGAAAAATAAAGAAGCAACTATTTTAAATCCTGAATTATATCCTGGACAGAGGCGATGCAATGGCCTTTCACCCTCTTTCCCTAAAAGCGCGGGGGGTCCCTCCCTAATTCGACGGGGTGGAAAACACGGTCCATTCCGACGTTCTTCTTAGAAGCAGAAATCGGCCCCCAACTTTTCCCAGGCGATGCATACCGAGGCCCCACTCCACCCCCAGCCCCAAAAAAAACAGGCGGGAGGTGATGCGGGGAGCCGGCGCTTTGGCTCAGACGGAGCTTGGGGCGCGCTCCTAGGCGCTGCGTCGGCCCTTTCTCAGCTCGGCCGCCGGTTCCCCCGGGGCGCCCGCTAGGGTTGCACCAGCGGCGCTTTAAGGCCTGACTTTATTGGCCTAGTCGAGCCAGTCTCGGCCTGAACCGACAAGGCCTCTCGGGCGGGCCCTCTAATCCTGGCTGGGCGGGGAGGCGGAAACCCAGGGGGAAAGAAACACTGCAAGACAATCGGAGGACCCCGAAAGAAGCCAGGGATCTCGGGGTCACGGTGGTGGAGTTAGCCGGGGTTAAGCATTGGGTTATCATCCCGCGATTTCGTCCTTTCCCCTCGGAAAACCTCTGCTTAAACCGGGTTTAGAGGGAGGTAAAAAGAATAAAGGCTGCAAAGCTTCCGGATTGACTAGTTGGCCTCTCCAAAGGACCTCAGCCGGTTTTGTTTTGTTTTTTTTTAAAACAAAGAAAGCTAGGAAGGATTTCAGACTCAACAGTCCAACGCAAAGAGAGAGAGAGAGAGGAAAACATAATTTAATGGAAAACTCTCTTAGGGTAACTGCTGCTGCTGCTGCTGTTGTCAAAACACATGAAGTTCAAATTGCTGGATTAGCAGGTTGAGAAAGGAAGTTCTAGCAAGGATTTCCAAGTTGTCCCATGTTCCCATGTTTTGGTTTTTTTTTTTTTAATTTCTTGATCTTCTTGGGTTCTTCCTGTGAACTGAAATGGCTTCTTGGTGCCACGTCTTGAAATGACAATATCAAAATGAAATATGTTATGTTCTTTAAGATCGGTTGGAGTATAAGCGCTGGATACACCACTTGATAGGCAGATTGTAGATTTTTTTTTAAGAGTCCTTTTGCTATGACTGGTGTGGAAACCCCCAGCCAGAATGATTAGAAAGAAGTGAAGATTTTATGATCATTGATATGAATAGGGGAAGCACCATCAATCCTTTTTATTTCATCGTTACTTCTACTACTATTATACTTAGAAAATATCTTTCAAGTAATATTTTTTTCTGGGCAACCTGAACAATCTTTGGGGCAGGATTTACTAATCCAAGCATCTATAAGAATAAACAAACAGAACAGGAACAATTGCACAGTTAAGCAAATTCATTTTGCTTCAAGATGATGACTCCAAGGCAAGCCTAGATAACTGGATATCATCCCCAAAAGGGATGATGTGCTTCCAGATTCCTAGTTCAAAGCTGACAATTTCTCACCTGTGTTCTCATCTAACTCGAGTTCCTGCACAGGAGTTCCAAATATAGCTTGTTAAAACTAATCAAACTCACAGCTTGCCAGATCAAAGGTGATTTTAAGATGACCATCTTCATCCAAAAGACATTGTATTTAGCTAACATTGTATTTATCCCTGTATGTACGGTAATTAAAGTTGCCATTCTTTCTTTGGAAAATCAGAACTTGGAAATAGAAATGTATACAAATACTAATGTGATTTGGGGGAAAAAATCTTTCTGAACTTTTAGGTCTTCATTCTAACTTGAAAAAAGTGTTAATGTAGATTGATATCATTTTGAATGATTGTACCAGTTATTTGACATATTCTACATCACAAATATAATTTAGTAGGATTTTGCCCAAGCCTTGTTAAAATTAATTGTCAAGCTCCCATATGCAACTCATTTCAGTAGGTCTTATGCCTCAAGGATATCTTGTAAATGAACTAACATGCACTTAAGTGTCTTTCCTTGCACTCATTGCTTAAGAATTGCTTAAGAGTGCTTATTTGTTAGGTCTGCCTTGTGTATATCACCCATGCTGAAAGCTTATTTCCTAAGTACATTTTCAAGGATAAATTGCTTTTAATTCTAAGCACAGATCATAACAGGCCCAGTTACAATATACACCCACAAATCAAAGTGCAACCCACCCTCCAACACACTGGCTTGTGTGGATGTGTTTGGTTTGGTGGCCATAAATCCCGCAGCTGCTTGCTTTTTACAAGCACTCATTGTTTGAAAATCACTTCCTCTTTGAGTCAGACATTTAAGGGTTTAGTAAGTTTAAACTGGTTAAAAAAAAAAAGAATATTTCTATAACTTGTTGGAGTGGGAGGTGGTAAAAATAATTAGCAGCTGAGTTTTGGAAACCGAGAGGAAAGATCTAAATCTTATTTGAAATTTGATCATATTCTAAAGGAGATTTCCTCCCTTTTCCCCACTGTGTTCAAAAACTCTTCATTGCTGGAAGCGAGTTGGCATTATATGTACAGCCTATGCTCTGGTTAGATATAATTTCAGAAGTAGGCATTTAAATATGATGCTGCTAGTGTGCTTTTTTCAACTCACTTATGTCTCTTTTTCCCAGTGAAAACCAGGACGAAAGACAAGTACCGTGTGGTCTACACAGATCACCAGCGACTTGAATTGGAGAAGGAGTTTCACTATAGCCGTTACATCACCATTCGGAGAAAAGCTGAGCTTGCAGCCACACTGGGATTGTCAGAGAGACAAGTAAGACTTTGCTCTGTGTAAAGTTTCCAAGCTTAGCCACTCTGTATTCAGCCTCCCTCCCTCCTTCCAGTAAACCTTCCTGATCTTATTTTTATTTACAGCAATAAATGCACACAATGACTAATAAAATATAATACACCAAAGTGTTTGTGTTAAACAAGCCACCCTCCCTTTTTAAGAATATGTAAATTAATGCCCCTTTCAGTATGAAACAAACTGTGTTTTAAGAATGGAAAAAATACCACCTTAATTTATTCAGAGTCACTATAGGATGATAGACAGCTGTCCAGAGTTTGGGAAACCAGTTCTATCCAGCCTGTGGTGGAAATTTCAAGAATGCATTTCTTATGCAAAGTAAGTGCTCTGCTACTGAGCTTTTGTCCTTCCTATAAAATAAAACAGGTTTATCACATAGGAATATTTGTCAGAGACCCAGCATTATTACCCTGTTGGTTGCATTTGTTGAGCATGTCCTAAGTGGAAAAGCTAGGCTTATTCTTGTACAATGAACTAGTGCTTGGATTTAAACAGCCTTCCTAACTTGCTGGCCTCCAGGTGCTGAAAAACATGTTAATTTACTCATAAAGTCAAATAAAGCCTCATTATAAACAGTCTGGTTTTTTAATGTATGAAAATCTCTTTTTGTCTCTAATTTCAGCCAGAGTTAGTAAGAGTAGCCATAAATTTTGTGATGGAGATAGATGAATCTTTCAAATTCTGTCTCTGTCCAGAAGCTGACTTTGCTGTTTGCTGCAAGGAGGCAAATTGCTGGGAGGCAGAGGCAGATTTTTTTTTCTTGTTTTCCTCCCCAAAAGTTAGGTGCATCTTATGCAGGGGTGCTATTCAGCAGGTTTTGACAGGTTCTGGAGAACCGGTAGTGGAAATTTTAAGTAGTTCGGGGAACCGTCAAATACCACCTCTGGCTGGCCCCAGAGTGCGGAGGGAGTAGGGATTTTGCAGTTTCCTTCCCCTGCCACACCCACCAAGCCACACCACACCCACCAAGCCACGCCCACAGAACCGGTAGTAAAAAAATTGAATTCCACCACTGGTCTTATGATCCGGATCGTTTTATAGTGCGAAAAATACGGTAAATCGTCAGAAATTGCAAAAGTTTTCACCTAATGTATCACCCTACCGGTATTTCGGAATATGGAGATCTTTCTATATCTGGAATTATACTTTTCCACTTTTGTACTTTTTTTAGTGAACAAGGATCAATGTAGGGAATGATTCCATGATATTGCACAACTACAGGGAACTGGAATTGTTTGCATTTTGTCTTTTTTTTTTTTTTTTTGCATGTTTTGAGAGAGGGAGTGGTTAACATTTTACTTACATGTCTTAAGTCATATTGATAGCTTATAAAATTTATTTCTTTTGTTGACAAATGAAAGCCAATGGGAAAATGCAAATTCTGATTGTGGTTTGCCATTAAATGTTGTTAGCCAGATCTAGAGGCCACTGAAAAATGGAGGGGTCTAAGGGCTAATTGTCCAGCAGTTGCTCTCTCTTGCTCACTCTTAAAGGTAGGGCCAATCCTCTGAGAAACAAATTTAAATGCACATAGCAGGATGAAGATTTAAGGTACTGTAGCAAATTGTAGGGCTGCTAAGAGATGCTTTTCAGGTATTTGAAGAGCTTAGGTTTGCAACTTTTATGCTTTTATATAGATTCAGGTCAAAGAAATTTAACAATAAATGATTTGGATATTTTAATCAAAACTTTATAAACCATAACCCAGAATCTGTTGCAACTATCAGGTTGATTCAAATGGAGATAGTTGATATAAATGTCCTTTTAAATGTATGCAGAATTAATTTTTCATTAGTTCAGAGCCATTGTTGGTGTTACCACTTTCTTTTCAATAGATGTGGTTTTAGGGAAAGAGCATCAAAAAGAGAGGCATAAATCCCTGTCATTTAGAGCAATAATAATTGTCATTGTTTCAGCCTTTATTTTGTTTTTACTACCGTAGGGAATAATTTACTTGTATTAATTAGGTTTTCTTCAGCTTATACTAGGATTTGAATTGTGATCCAAGAAGAAGATATAGGAAGTTTAATAAAACCTGCTATCCATGGATGGATGGATGGATGGATGGATGGATGGATGGATGGATGGATGGATGGATGGATGGATAAATATATGGACAGATGGTTGAATGGATGGATGGATGGATGAATGGATGGTTGATCTGTCATCAGGTAGGTGTTAACCTACAGTAGATGGATCTTCTCCAGGATTATCTATCCCACCTGCCCCTTCAGGTCTTCCAATACTGTACCAATTACCATTGTAATTGACTCATCCACCTAACTCCTGATCATCCTCTTCTTCTCCTTCCTTTTTCCTTTCCCAGCATGCCTTATAGACTTCTCAAGAGAGCTCCACAATTATAACAAGAGACTGGTCGTTTGCCAAATGTCATTTGAGCGAACACTTTGGAATGGTTTGTTCTATGACCCACTTGTTTGCTTCTTGGCGGCCCATGGTATTCTCAAGAGTATTCTCCAACATCATTGTTTTAAAGTGCCAATACTTTCCTGTCTTGCTTCTTGCTTCTTCCAAGTCCAGCTTTTGTTTCCATAGAGCATCATAAGGAAAAGCGTTGCAGGATTCTGATGTTTGTAGGCATCATGGAATCTGAATATCTTTTCCAAGAGATCTTTACTCTATCAAATGCTAGTCTCTGAAGTATTTTTGGATGCTAGTTATTGTACTGTTGATAATTGATTCTAACATGCAGATTCTATTGCCAGTTGGTTGTTGTACCTTTAGTCATTAGTTTGATCTTTCATTCTATACAATTGTAGTCCCATTTTTTGCTTCACTTCTTGGCTTTCATTACTAGAGCTTGCAGATCATTTACATTTTCAGTGATTCTACATAGTGGAGATTATTGTTGTTTCTTCCTCCACCTTTAAACCACATTCATCTTCTAGCCGTTCTACATTTATATAAGGAACAAGCATATACAGATAGTTCTCAATTGACAACAGTCCATTTAGTCACCTTTCGAAGTTCCAACAGCAATGAAAAAAGTGACCTGTGACTGTTGTTCACACTTACGACTGTTGCGGCATCCCCATGATCAGGTGATCAAAATTCAGATGCTTGGCAACTCATGTTTATAACCATTGCAGTGTCCCGGGTCATAGGATTATCTTTTGCAACCTTCTGACAAGCAAAGCCAACGGGGAATCCAGATTCATTTAACAACCACGTTGCTAACTTAGCAACTGTGGCAAGAAAGATAATAATATGGGGCAAATCTCACTTAACAAATGTCTCACTTAGCCACAGAAATTTGGGGTTCAATTGTGGTCGTAAATTGAAGACTTGAGTACCTTGCTTACTTAGAGCCAGACTATTTTACTTTCTTCTATCTGGGCTGTGGCTTGTTGTTCTGTGGATAGGTTTTACCCAGAGATGGGTTTCAGCAGGTCCTGACCAGTTCTGGAGAATAGTTAGCAGACATTTTGATTAGTTCGGAGAACCGGTAGTAAAAATTCTGACTGGCCCCACTCACATCTATTCTCTGCCTCCCGAGTCCCAGCTGATCGGGGGAAAATGTGGATTTTGCAGTAACCTTCCCCTGCCACGCCCACCAAGCCATACCACTCCCACCAAGCCACACCCACAGAACCGGTAGTAAAAATTTTTGAAACCCACCACTGGTTTTACTCAAGGACAATGGTATGTTCTGGGATTCCTAATTTCCATCTAGTCATTTTACAGCTTGACACGGTCAAGACAATCGAGGGCCTTTCTAAAGTTACTAAAAGTACAAAGTGGTTTCATTTTTATATTGTTTGGCCTTCTCAATTACCCAGCTTGTATCAGCAACGGCATCTCTCATTCCTTACGTTTTCTAAAGCCAATTTGAATATCTGTCCTCTCTCTTTACATGAAGGGCTCTCTTGGATGGTCCTAAACATTATTTTAATAGCATATGAAATTTAGGATAAGGATGCACACTTCATTAAATCTCCTTCCTTCAGTGCTGTTGTGTAGCCCCTATCCAATTGTATCATTCTTTGCTGGGTCAGGGTGTTGATATTGATGATGTTGGTATTGGTATTCCTGAGAAGGATGAGCAAGGAAAAACCTGTGAGTTCCTCCCAAATCATAAGTATCTTTGCTTTGCTTTCTAAACATAGGAACTAAATATAGAAAATGTGCATATAGTAAATGCACCATGCTTGCTTGTGTCTCTTGTATCTGAAGCATCAAAATGCATGGATTGAAGACTTGCTTAGTTTATTACCGGTATTTATTTTATTAAATTTTTATGCCACTCATCTCATAGCCCGGTGATTATATTTATTTATTTATTGGTTCAATTTATATGCTGCCCTTCTCTGGAGACTCAGGGTGGCTTACAATGCGTTAAGCAATAGCCTTCATACTTTTGTATATACCTGCTTAGTAGGGCTTTCGCTCCCCCCCCCCAAGCACTGTTCTTTTTTATACAAAGTCAGTTTATTGCCCCCACAATCCGGGTCCTCATTTTACCTACCTCGAAAGGATGGAAGGCTGAGTCAACCTTGAGCCTGGTGAGATTTGAACTTGCAGTAACTGCAGGCAGCTGGCAGCTAAGTGCTACTTAACAGCACTTTAGTCCGCTGCACCACCAAGGCTCTTTATAAGACTGATGTAGTTTTTATATAGCGTAATTATACTTGTAATTTTAATTGTTTCTATATTTACCCTTTTATTGCTTGTAAGCCTTCCAGAGTCATCTTATCAGTAAGAAGGACGGCATATAAATTTAATAAATTAAGTAATTCTAGTTATTAGAATCAAAGATTCAAAATGAATCTTCATTTTGTTCGCAATGTTTGAGAATATGTGTCTTGTAGACTATTTCCTATTGATGCCATTAATCACTTGAACTTAAACAAACTTTTTAAAAAGCTCTGCATGGATTAAAAATTAAGTACACCATGGACAATCTAGAAGCATATGAAATTTTTACAGATTGTGTGTCTGTCCTTCTTCCTCATTTCATGCAAAGATCTTTACTTTTGGCTGCTTTTCCTGTCATCTCAGAAGAGTGAGGATTGGTTCTGTGAACTCAGGGTCATGAAGTTATGCTCTATATATTACCAGAAGAGGCACTTACTTCCATGTTACACCAAAAGCGCTGAGTGCATGATACAAGATAGCTTAATAATTTAGAGGTAAATAAGCAGTAAGCCAGAAAATTCCTAGTTCAATTTTTTCATAACAGAGTGGGCTAAACTATTATCCCTCTGATCTTCCCATCTGTTAATAGGGGTACATATCAAAAAAAAGAGAAAAAAAAAATCAGGATTATTTTTTTAAAAAAATGTATGCAAAGTATTCTGAATGCCCCTAGGTACTAAATATCATGAGGAAAGATCTTACTGAATGGGAGTGGGTTTAAGATCCCTTTGATCTCCATGGAATCTATGCCTAAATCTATGCCTCCATGCCTAAATGTTTGCATTTAGATTTGAGGAGGCTTAAATCCAAGTGGGCATGTGTATCTATTGTACAAAGTCGGTTATTTGCCACCTTTCTATACCAACACTGCCAGATTTTGTTTATCCCCTTGGTTATCAGTGAAGACATCTTAGCATACCCTTTGCTTGCTTAGTTGTTATTGCAAAACACACACACACCTTCATTTTCAAAGTCCAATAGACTTGTATTTCTAACTTCTGAGCACCACCCCTGCTCCGGGTGTCCTTGGCATTCCTGGAGGTGCATTTGTTCTGAGTCATTTCCCACATGACTAGTAGCTTTGCTTCCCCCCCCAGCTCCCCCCCACTTTTGCAGGTGTTTTGGTGAATACTAAAAAAAATCAGTCTCTAATGTGTCCTAGATTTTGCTACTTGCTATTGTTGAATTTTGAATATGAGTCAACCATACACTTTCCCCCAATCTGTCCTCCAAAATTCATTTTAATTGTCTTTCCTTTCCTTTTCTCCTCTTGCTCTGAAAAACACAAAAAGGCCCCAGCTTTCTACTTTGATACAATCCCTACTGCAAAGAAACCTTTCTGAATTCAAATTTAATGCACAACGCACACTACGTTCAGTCTTAAACCTACAAAAGCTTATTCCTGCAAGTAAGGAAACTCCCTATCCTTATTAGATGGTTGGTGGCATTGATGTAGTTGAAGACGACAAAAAAATATTTCATGTGTCAGTGGATCCTGGAAGCATTTTGATCTGATGTGGAGTAGTGTAGAGCTGTAAACCCAGCTTTGGTTGGAAGGCAGCGAGCAGTATATTTAGGAATAACGTTGTGCTCTTTTTTGTCATATGCTGATGGTATAAAACAGTGGTGAAATCTAAAATTTGTTACTACTGGTTCTGTGGGCGGGTAATGTGACTGGGTGGGCGTGGCCATTTTTTTTTTTTTTACTTTAAAAACCATTTTTTCTACAACCTCTTTGGCGAAGAGGTTGTTAAAAAAATGCTTTCAAAAGGCTCTGACGATCCCAGCTGAGTTGCCTGATCGGCAGAGACTTTTTTTCTTTTAAATCCAAGCAACTCAGCTTGGATCGGCAGAGGCATTTAAAAGAACCCCCCCCCCCTTTTTTAAAATGCCTCTGATGATCCAAGCTGAGTTGCCTGATTGTTAGAGGCATTTAAAAGAAAAAAAGTCTCTGCCGATTAGGCAACTCAGCTTGGATCGGCAGAGGCATTTAAAAGAAAAAGAGGGTTTTTTTTTCTTTTAAAAGCCTTTGATGATCCCAGCTGAGCTGCGCGATCATCAGAGGCCTTTTTTTTTACTTTTAAAAGCATTTTTTTGGCCGAAGAGGTTGTAGAAAAAATGCTTTTAAAAGTTAAAAAAAAAAAGCCTCTGATGATTGTGCGGCTCAGCTGGGCATGGGGGGGTGGGCGGGGGCAGGGATTTTTGCTACCAGTGCTCCGAACCACCCACCTCCATCGCTACCGGATCGGGTGATCCAGTCCGAACCGGGAGCATTTCACTCCTGGTATAAAATCATTGGAGGGGGTGGTTTATCATATTCCTTTTTCGGTCTTGCTAAAATTTTGGCAAAATGCTTTCTACTATCTCATAGGTAGACGAAAACAACTATATGTTCGATATAGATTTGTAACCAGAGATAGTTTTGTTGGGCATTCTACCAGAAAAATAAGATAAAAAAAACTACATATTTGATCCTGCATAAACTAACTGCAACTAGAATTGCATTTGCGCAACAATGGAAAGATGATGAGATCCCGTCTGAGGGGAATGTAATTAAGAAAATATTAGAATGTGCAGAAATGGACAGATTAACACTTACTATTAAGGATAAAGAAGAAACTGAATATGTTTTGATACAAGACATATTCTATCAATGGCTAGATAACAGAAACAGAAGTTAGAAAGGAGGAAATATAAAGAGAGGAAATGGTAAGAGAGTTGTTAAAGAAGATGACGTTAAGTGTTAAGTATTAATGTTATTATATTATTCTGTTATTATATTATTAATATGATGGAGATGAATTATCACAACAAAGTTGTGTAATATGACTATTTAAATATAACTGTACCCAGAATAAACACTGTTTGATGAAAATTAAATTTTATATAAATAAAATAAATAAAACATTGGGGGGGGGGGAAGAAAACTACTATATATCCTGTTTAGGCATTCACAGATAACACATGTACTATTTATCCTAGTGAATTGTGTGGTAGGGTTTGTGGTTCAAAAATCACTTAGGTTCACAATTAAGATCTTGATGGCCATAGGCATTCCAGTTATATTTTGTATAATTGTTCTGAAGCAAGCTTCACTGGATTAATAGCACTGAATCTTATAAAGATGCACATTTACACCCTCAGTATCCTGGGTTATATCTAGCAATGCTTAACTAGGGAGAGTCATAGTCCAGTGCTAGAATGCAGCACTGTATTCTCACAGTATGGAGAAACTTTCAGGTTCTGAGTTCCTGTCTGTAATCTTGGAGTATCATATATGGGATGGTAGTAGGCTACATGGAACAAAAGCATAATTTACTTGTATAAGATGTTTTACAGGTGGCATTTATCCCCGATGAGAATTGCTAGAATGTTCAAGAATAAATCGGAAAAATGTTGGAAATGTCATCAGATACCAGGCTCATATTACCATATGTGGTGGATGTGTATAGAAGCTAAAAGATACTGGACTAAAATCCACACATGGGTGGAAAAATGACACAAAAACACATAGACTTTAAACCAAAGATTTTTTTTATTGGGGATTGTACCCGAAATATACAATAGAGAATTGAGATATTTGATTGTGAATGTATTAACAGCGGCTAGCATTGTGTTTGCTAAGAATTGGAAAAATGAGAAAATGCCAACACAAGACGAAGTTATTAAGAAAATAATGGAATGTGCAGAAATGAGTAAATTGACATTTGAAATTAGAGAACAAGAAGATAAACAATATTATAAGATATGGGATCTATTTTACCAATGGTTAGATAAAAAGACATGGAAATGAAATATGGTAGAGATTTTTCCAATGCAAGAAATGTAGAATTATATAAAATATAATAAAAAGATGTACTGTTATTGGAATGATTTAGGAGAATGAAGGGCATAATACAAATTAATTTAAATCTTAGATTATTTTGTATGAAATGAGGGAAGAAACAGCCATAGTTAATGAGGATAACAATACATGGATTGAGTGAATAGAATGAAGATGCACAAAAGACTTGTAACCAATCGACACACTGTTTGTATTTACATTGAAGATGGTTTTTTATTTGTTTTTTATATATTTGTTTAAAAATAATTTTTTTGTCAAAAAAAAAAGCATAATTTACTACTAGTCACATTGTTTTGATCCACATTCCTAGATTTTGGTATATAAAACACTCAATTTATTAAATGTTTTTCAAAAGATAATGTTATCATACATCATCTAACATTTAGAGCTGAGTTTCTAGTAGTCTGTTCCTTAGCCTAGAGGCCATTTGATTAAAGCCCTAGTCCCCCAGCATGCTGGCTGGGAATTCTGGGTGTTGAAGTTCACACATCCTAAAGCTACCAGGGTTGAGAAACATTGTCTTAAGGCTGGTCAGATTGAGAAGTGGAGATACTTTAGACATAATAGACAAAATTCTGATTGGATATATTTGTTTCCCATAAGAAAACAAGATAGTCTTCTTCTTCCTTCTAAAAATAAGTGATCTTTCTGCTTAGATTCTCTGGAATTTATTACAAGCGTACCCTCTTTCTACAAATCTCCATTGAAAAGAGGGTAGGAGGGAGAGCTTTGCTTTTCTAATCCAATCCCTTCTCTATGTTTACTCAGAGTAAATCCTGTTGTACTCTATAGGTAGATTTGCATAGGAGTGTTGTGTGGATAAACTCATTGTGTCCAGACTCACAGACTTGAGTACAATCCATCCAAAGCAGTTTTAGCCAAGCTGACTCTGAATCTCTGCCCTGAGAGTTGGTGCCATCTCAGTGACCTTGTCTGGATGGCAAGTAGTAAGGACGGGTCTAGTCTAGTTCAGGGGTCTCCAAAGCAAAGCTGGCTGAGGAATTCTGGGAGTCGAAGTCCACAAGTCTTAAAGTTGCCAAGGTTGGAGACCCCTGGTCTAGTTAATACTTAGGCGGAAGGCCCTCAGGAATTCTAGGTTGTAAATTAGACTGGGAAGTTGAAAATATCTAGCTCACTATTACTGACGCCAACTCTGTCTTCCTCCCTAGGTGAAAATCTGGTTTCAGAATAGGCGGGCGAAAGAACGGAAAATCAACAAGAAAAAGTTACAACTATCTCAGCCTGGAGGAGTGCACAGTGGATCCGAACCCCTGAGTCCTGTCTCCTCCATGCAGGCAGGGACACCTGGATCTGGTCCCAGTGGAGGTGTGTTGGGTGCTACTGGCTTGACCCCAAGTGTTGCACAGTGACAGCCGTCGTCAGGAAAGACTGAGTAGCTGAAAAGAGTTTCTGCATTCCATACAGAAGAGGAAGAGACTGCCGGCCACACACCAGCCAGCCCAGGAGGAAGAAAAACCACTCATCCAAAAGTGAAACCAAAGAAGCAAGTGGTGACTCTCTATATCCTGCACTAGGATGGACTGCACTGAATAGCATCACACTGTGGGATGTTCCACCCATTTATACAAAATACACTGCGGGTCAACTCATATACTCTGGGCCAACGGGGGAAGGAAGGCAGTTGATTTTCCTTAATTTGTTTCATTCATGTCCCGGATGCTGCCATAGACATCACGTAACTGACATTTAACTCTGCAATGAAAACAAACACCTTTTCTCAGGGAATTGGGCCTGAAATGCCTGCTTGTTATTCTTTTTATTTTGTTTTGTTTTGTTTTTGTTTTTGATTACCAATGTGTCGGGTTAATGATAAATGTTAATGGGAAAAAGAAGAAATTAAACCGTATTTTACTTTGTTTTTTTGGTATCCTAAACCAACTGAAAAGGAGAACCGCTCACTTCCCAACCGGCAGGAAAGCGTAAGAGGAAGCAAGCTGCTGAGATGCTTTGAAACCAGTCATTGGATGGTAATTTATTGACAAACAAGCATATAAACAAGTGGTGATGATTTTATGTCCTGATTCTTACCTGTTGCCTGCCATCTCTTTATCTCTGATGTTAGCAACACATTATGAACAAAAAAAAAAAAATTATTTTTATGAGGACTTTTTTTTTTCAATAGAGAATATTTTTAGAATCAGCTTGACAGTAAGATTCACGCTGAGCCGTACTTGTGATCAGGAGCATCCTTTAATCCTTGTTATCCTGTCACTGTCGCTGACATCCCCTTCTGACTCATTACCGCCTGGGCTGCTTAACAAACTATAATGTCTGTATTTGGGAATTGGGGTAAATATTTTCACGACGTCATTTGGCTGTCGAAATACATTTTCTGCCACTTCCTAAGATACAGGCAGCTCTTCCCGAAGTGTTCCAATAGCTGTTCAAGCCTAGCCCTCTTACATCAATTTGCCTTCTCAAATATGCAGGAGGAAGAACGACATCTACTCACGTTAATTCAGTGATGGATGACACAGCAGAAGCTAGCTCTGTTACTGAACGATTAGCAGATTTTGTGACATATGGGCTTGAGCATAGAAAGCCAATGTTGTGTGCTCAAGAAGGGGGAATACTGGGGTTACTACCAGGTCATTCTGGAACTGATTTAAGTTGCAAATGAGGAAACTAGATTTCTTGAATCTGTTGCTACTGGCTGCAGGTTTTTAAAATCTAACATAATTAGAGAATCCTGACTGGGGTATAGCACCCTAATCCTTAATCCGAGTTTGGAATAGAACTCTGTTCATTCTGATAAGAAAAACATCATTTATAAGAATAAAGGCAATTTTGTGATCATTCTACAGGGTTTCAAGAGGGGGACCCAAGAAAATTTGCAGCCTAACTCTTAATGCCAGTTTCTGCAAAAGCCTGTCCAATTTGGAACGGGCAGGACCGAACTCAAAAAGCTGTAATCCATGGCATGTGAATTTGTATCCACGGGCACCCATGCTGGCGAACTGGCATCTGCCAATGATATTGATTTCTCTTTTCGCCATTCATCCCCACATCTGCTGACTAGCATCTTTGGGGGGTCATTTGGGAGCTGAGAGGTCAAAGAAAGTGCAGCAGGATCCACTCGCCTTGATCGTCATCCATTTACTTGAAAATAGATTTCCTTAAAAAAAAAAGGACACTGAGTCATGTAAATTAATAATAAACGAAACAATTTATGTATTGAATACATACGCAAGCACCTTACAGATAGAACAATGTGCTGTTTTTTAAATTTTTCATGTTTAAGCTGACTTTCAAACAAAACATGTAGAATGCATGCTGTGCAAAGCATGAACAATCCAGGGAAAACTTCTTTGAGCTCAAGCCAACTTTATGGAAATGAAGCCATGCCCTTTTTTCTTGGATCCATTCATTTCAATGGGATGTAAGTAGAGCACTATGGAACTAAAGTCCTGGATTTCATCCAACTCAGAATTTCACATGAAGCCTCAGAGGGGCATAGCTGAGAACCACAGGACTACATGTACGCCGTATTGCTTGGTTTACTTAATTTGATTGTGTTTATGAACATATAGATAATAGACAGATCTCCTAATAGCAATGTGTCCCTCCTATGGTCAAAGCATTATGGAATCTCATACATCCTGTGAGATGTTTTCAGTGATTTCCATGAAAAATCACAAGTGCTTGGAAATTTTCCTTTCATCAAGACTCTTAATATGGGCTACCAGATCAGGGCTGCCATATACACGTAACCAGGGGAGAAATCCAGCAGGTTCTGACAGGTTCTGGAGAACCGGTAGCGGAAATTTTGAGTAGTTCAGAGAACCGGCAAATACCACCTCGGGCTGGTCCCAGAGTGGGGTGGGAATGGGGATTTTGCAGTATCCTTCCCCTGCCACTCCCGCCAAGCCACACCCACCAAGTCACACCACGCCCACAGAACTGGTAGTAAAAAAATGAATTTCACCACTGCATGTAGCCTCTTGGTCATCTGTGCAATTTCAGAGATATACCGTAGCTCAGTGGTCCCCAACCCCCGGTCCGCGGACCGGTGCCGGGCCGTGGAGTACCTGGCACCGGGCCGCGCAGCGGCCGGGGGACAGGAACGCTTCAGCGCAAAGGCTCCTGGGCCGTGCGCAATGGGCCTGCGCAAAGGCTCCTGGGCCGTGCGCAATGGGCCTGCGCAAAGGCTCCTGGGCCGTGGCCCCACCCCTGCGCGCGCTCAGCGGGCCGCGGCGATAAAAAGGTTGGGGTCCACTGCCGTAGCTCATTAGTATTTAAATACTAGTTCCTTTGAAAGTTTGAAGGACTTTCAGAAAACAGCCTTAAGAACTGAGAAAGACTTGCCCATATTGGCAGGTAGTGATGGTCATTATCACCTCACACACCTGGAGGACACCTAGCTGGAAATCTGCTTTAGAGAAAAATGGATGGAACTTAGAAGCCAGGCTCCATAGTGGAAGAGGAAAAAAGGAAATACTTTTTGAAACTTTATGAATGGTAGAAAGGAGAAAAATATAGTAAGATCTTAGAGTAAGACCTGTCTACATCCCAAATAGAAACCAGATTCAATGATTTCAGTGGAAATCATTTCTAGTAAATGAGCTTTAAGGTATCAGTTTATTGCAAAAAAACCCAACCCCTCATTCCTTGCAAGTCTGAGATCTAGATGTGTGAGAAACTATCTAAATTCTCTTGGTTAAATTCCTTCTAGCGAGTCCCCCAAATTCCAGCTGTTTAAACAATTGGAAATGAGTGTAAGTGTGTAAACATTCATACTTGCCTTCTTTTTCTTTTGAACACATCGACGGCATGATTTAGTGAAAACTCATTCAAGGAAATCACACTGTTACTTTCTCCATATAAAGTGGGTAGAAATACTTAATATCACCTAGACTGTATCCAAACTATGCAGTTTACAAATATTAATCAAATAGTGTTTTTTCTACCTTGGAGAGTAACCTAACTTAATTATGTTGGTATTCTTGAAAGAGTTTGTTATTTTCATCAGTAATGATAGCTATATTCTTTGAAGAAAAACAGGAATCCTGATGGAGATGGAGGTAATATTAAAAATGCACATGAGCAAATCAATGCATAAACTGTCATAATCAAAACTTTTTGGACACAAAAATGAGAATGTTTGTATTTGAATATGTCTTTTCTAACAACAACAATAACAAGGATAGTGACAAATAGGAAATTGCAGAGTCCTTTTATTAGCTCAGATTAACATTTTCGGGGGGTGTGTGTCACCCAGAAGACTGAATCTATCGGATGAATCTATCGCTGTTGCTAGATTTGTTAAGCAGAGGTACATCCTGGCTGTTTTAAAATTTCAGATTGTTAATTATTTTAAGATTTACATGCTGGTAGGTCTTCCTCTATTAGAATTGCATATGTGTATTCTTGCATGAAGGAAAACTAATCCACTCCAGTGGAGTGAGATATTTATTCAAGTGCTACACTGAATTAAGGTGGTGCAAAGCATGGAAGGAACATTTTCCTTCAACAAAGATTCAAGGCAGCAGCATCTTTATCTGAATTAAGTCTTGAGGCCGTGTGGTCCCAGCTTCTGGTGAGGAGATTGTGAAGAGCCACGTGCCAAAGGGGGTTTCTATGCCTGCATAGTGTTCCAAAAATAGCTGAGGCAGAATATCGTGGAAACTTCTTGTCTTCTCTGCCTAGTAGCAAAAAAGAAAGAAAGAGAAAGAGAGGGAGGGAGAAAGAAAGAGAAAGAGAGGGAGGGAGGGAGGGAGAGAGAGAGAGAGAAAGAAAAGAAAAGAAAGAAAGAAAGAAAGAAAGAAAGAAAGAAAGAAAGAAAGAAAGAAAGAGAAAGAGAAGGAGGGAAGGAGAAAAGAAGAGAGAGAGGGAGGGAGAAAGAAAGACAGAAAGAAAGAGAAAGAGGGAGAGAAAAAGAAAGAGAAAGAGGGAGGGAGGGAGAAAGAAAGAAAGAGAAAGAGAAAGAGAAGGAGGGAAGGAGAGAAGGAGAAAGGAAGAGAAGAAAGGAAGAGAAAGAGAGGGAGGGAGGGAGAAAGAAAGAGAAAAAGAGAGAGGGAGGGAGAAAGAAGGAAAGAGAAAGAGAAGGAGGGAAGGAGAGAAGGAGAAAGGAAGAGAAAGAGAGGGAGGGAGGGAGAAAGAAAGAGAAAGAGAAGGAGGGAAGGAGAAAGGAAAGGAAAGAGAAGGAGGGAGAAAGAAAGAAAGAGGGAGGGAGGGAGAGAGAAAGAAAGGAGAGAGAAAGAAAAGGAAAAGAAAAAAAGGAAAAGAAAAGGGAAACATAGTATGTTAAAGATCTAAGCTTCAAAAGTCCAGACCATCTTCTGTATCCTAGTCATCTGAATTTTTGCTACTCACAGATTTGTAGTCTGATTAAAGATGAAATACAGGTAGTCCTCAACTTACAACAGTTCATTTAGTGACTGTTCAAAGTTACAACGGCACTGAAAAAAATGTGACTTATGACCATTTTTCACACTTATGACCATTGCAGCATCACCATGATCATGCGATTAAAATTCAGATGCTTGGCAATTGGTTCATATTTATGACCATTTCTTTGTCCCAAGGTCATGTGATCACCTTATGTGACCTTCTGACAAGCAAAGTCAATGGGGAAGCCAGATTCACTTAGCAACTAGGTTACTAACTTATCAACTGCAGTGATTCACTTAACAACTGTGGCAAGAAAGGTTGTAAAATGGGGCAAAACTCACTTAACAAGTGTCTCACTTAACAACAGAAATCTTGTGCTGAATTGTCATAGTAGGTCAAGGACTATGGTACCTGTACTAAGATTTTTTTGTTTGTTTGTTTATTTTTCTATACCGCCCTTCTCCCGAAGGACTCAGGGCGGTGTACAGCCTATTAAAAGCACAAGACAAACATCAATTAAAATAATTTAAAATTATTAAATAATTCGGCTCAATTTAAAACCCCAGAAATTTAAAACACCCAATTTAAAATTATTGTGTTGATAGCCCGGTCTGGCGGAACAACAGGGTCTTGAGTGCACAGCGAAATACCCGGAGGTCGGAGATCTTACGCACTTCCGGGGGCAGTTCATTCCACAGGGCTGGGGTTCCCACAGAGAAGGCCCTCCCCAGAAGATGCCTGAACAAAGAGCTGCTTCTTCTGAATAGTAACAGTAGCCATTCTAGAGTTAAACTAGGAATTGAAGTCCAATTCACTCCTTTATTTTTCAAGCAGTATTATGAAATACAGAAAACTTGAACTGGCCCTCCATCAACCACAGCTGAGCCAAGAAAAAAGCTAGAAGGATCTACCCATATCTTTATCATTTGGGCTTAACCTCATTCTTATAGGTGGCAAATATATGAAGCTTGGCCCTTGACCCTCTTTTATCCACCACTAGTAATATTTTATTTTATTTATTTTTTTATTTTTATTTATTTTTATATGCCACCCTTCTCCGGAGACTCAGGGCGGCTTACAATGCGTTAAGCAATAGCCTTCATACTTTTGTATATTTTATACAAAGTCAGCTTATTGCCCCCACAAACATGATGCCGAGATGTTCTGACCCACAGCAGATAAATTTGCGCAGGCAGGTTCTGCAAACTTTTATTCATCAACATCTCCTTACATCAATATTGTCCAGATGTGCATCTTCGAATCCACGGAGTGCATTCGAAGATACCTTTGTGACATTACAGTATTGCAAATGGATCTCTCTGGGGTCCCAGTTTGGAAAACAAAAACTGGAGAAGTTGTTCCTCAAGGTTGCTCCTCAAGGATGATTCAGCCTTCCATCCTTCCGAGGTTGGTAAAATGAGGACCCAGATTGTTGCTGGGGGCAATATGCTGACTCTGTAAACCGCTTAGAGAGGGCTGTAAAAGCACTATGAAGAGGTATATAAGTCTAAGTGCTATTGCTATTATTTTTAGTAGAACAACAATTGGGTACAGGCCACCCTATGATTTTCTTAGTAGATTTAGGTCCTGTTTTTATTCGAAGGGAGCCAAAGGGCTGGCAAGCATGGGCATTCTTCCTTTCAGTGCACCTGATGAAGAGACCTGGTGCGCTTGGCTAGCTCCCTGGGGAGCTGAACTTGCCCCATCCGCTTTGTCTCTCCCCTCTTCCTTATGGAGGGAGGACCAATGCATGGAATCCGGGAGGGCTCAGTAAGAAACAATCGACAAACATTCCATGTCCTCTTCCCCACCCTTGTCCCCCTCTGGCCAGCCTGGAGCCCCGGTACCTCTTTAAGAAGCGATTAACCATAAACTAATAGCTGGAAGGATGCGGAGGGCAAGCCGTCCGGCGGTGGGCTTGCTTTCCCGAAAAGATCCATCTTGCCCTGCAGCACTGAGAGCCGCCTCCACACCCCGACCGTGGCTGCCAGGCAGGCAATGGAGGAAAACCCCAGATACCTCTGTTGCTAAGGTACGGAAGGTCAATAATGCGTATTTGGATTGTGGAACAGAGCGCAAGGTCTGTTTGCTTAGTGGTTAGAGGTTCAAAAGTCAGCATTGTCTTACTAGCAAGCAGAACTCGCAGTCTGTGGAAAGAAGAACGAACTCACCAACCCATTAAGCCAATCAACAAAGATTGGGCTTTAAACAGAACTGAGTAACAGAGTTGGAAGGGATCTTGGAGGTCTTCTATCCAACCCCTTGTTCAAGCAGGAAACCCTATGCCGTTTCAGACAAGTAGTTGTCCAATCTTTTCTTAAAAGCCTCCAGTGATGAAGCAACCCACCACTTCTGGAGGCAAGTCGTTCCACTGATTAATTCTTAATTTAATCAGAACAGAACTGGAAGGGTTGTGCAGGCAGAGATCAGAAAAGCTGAACACGTAAAACAGAATGAAGCTAAACTCTTGGCTCTTCCCCTTGAGTCAGAGATAAATCAGTTTTCAAGATGCAGTGGTTAGGCTAAGCCAGAACCAGACAAGTCACATTTTGGTTAGTATGCTGTGGGGACCAATCCTTTGATCTGGTCTATGTATAAGCATAGTAACTAGAACATACTAGAATAATAGAGTTGGAAGGGACCTTAGAGGTCTTCTAGTCCAACCCCCTGCTTAGGCAGGAAACCCTATACCATTTCAACAACAACGTCTTAAAAACTTCCAGTGTTGGAGCATTCACAACTTCTGGAGGCAAGTTGTTCCACTGATTAATTGTTCTAACTGTCAGGAAATTTCTTCTTAGTTCTACTCCTTGATTAGTTCTACTCCTTGATTACTTCTCTCCTTGATTAGTTTCCATCCACTGTTTCTTGTCCTGCCCTCAGGTGCTTTGGAGAATAGTTTGACTCCCTCTTCTTTGTGGCAGCCCCTGAGATATTGGAATACTGCTATCATGTCTCCCCTAGTCCTTCTCTTCATCAAACTAGACATACCCAGTTCCTGCAACTGTTCTTCATATGTTTTAGCCTCCAGTCCCCTAATCATCTTTGTTGCTCTTCTCTGCACTTTTTCTAGAGTCTCAACATCTTTTTTACATCATGGCAACCAAAACTGGATGCAGTATTCCAAGGGACTCTAAGATCCCTCTCACAGTTACTATTATTGAGCAAGGTACCACCATCGACACTGAGCATATTCTGACTTATTCAGCAGGGTATAATTAAGCAAAGCTACTATGATTGTAAAAGGGCAGCAGTTTCAGAAGCCATTTTTTCCAGGACCACTCGACTTTGGCAGAGCAAAGATTCCTGATCTCTTTCTCTCTATGTTTTCTCATCCAGGATTCATATTCTGGGTTTGCACAATGTGTTAGTCTAGGCTACAATCAGATCTTGCATCTTGGGTTTTAGCAAACCTGTGTGAACTAGGCCATCACTTTAATCCACAATATATTTGTCACAGAATATTGTACTAATTCACCAATTGCCCTCTGACCACCTGGGATTGCATATTTGTTTGAATCCAACCAGTTCAACTTTTTTTTTTTTTGAGTTCTAGTTTACAAGTTAGTTACTCCATAGAATATTGCAGTTCAAAACTTCCTAAGAAAGAAAACCAACCAAACTCAGTTACGTTTGCTTCTGGAGTAAAGACACATAGAACAAGGTTGAAACTAACAGATTTCAAAGCAGGAAGTTTCGTTAAAAGTCCTCGTCCAGCATATTTTAAGCACAATGACTCAGGATCTTTATTCCACAGAAAATCCCATGCAATTTCACTCCATGCAGCAAGCGTGCTTAAGGGAGCATCTTCAGCTATGATTGGCTCATCTGCAAAATCAGTTCTGAAATTGCTGCAGACCCTGAAAAGGGGTGAATTAAGAATCTTTCCAGAGGTGATTTATTGCACAAAGAAGGTGCATCTGTTACAGAGGCTCTGAACCTATTTGCTTTCCACAAACTCCCTTCCGTTTGTTGCTAGGGACACAGGATTCTCTCTTTCCAGTTAATGCCACATTACTGTTATGTTGAGTACTAACAGATTTAGGGTATATGGCTGTGATTGCTTTTTTATCCCCAGACTCCAGGCATTTTCATTCCTGGACTTTTTGTGTCACCTAGGAACAGAGAGGCACTGCTTAAGGAACTCTATTAAAGCTACCTTTCACAGTTATAAACCCAGAGTTGTGTATACTCTGGACTAGACAAACAACAAAGAGTCCTTTTCTGCATACATCCATGCCAAATGCAATATGGTGCAGAAAACATCAGAAGCCAGTATTTCTTTACCAGCTTTTTATTTATGTGCCTTTCACCACAACGTACAGTAATCTATAGATCGAAAATGATAACATTTATCTCCATGCTGCATGAATGATTGATCACCTGTAGGTTTTTTTCAACAAACATAAATTTGGAGCAGTTTTTTTTTTTAAAGATACCCACAGTATAGATATACCGGTAGATACTTCCCAGCAGCTTGTACCCTATTCAATATGTACAGCAGATTCCAAGCATGTAAATTCTTAATAAACTGTTCCTTGAGTCAAGGGGTTGCCCTAAGGCCACACACAGCTTTGATTTAATTTTATTTACCCTTCTGCCTCATTTCTGCAGTTGAGAGTCATTCACTGCTTTCTTTGCAATCTGCTTGTTGGTTGGAGGAGTCAGAACTAAAGGCTGAGAATGAGAGAATGGGTAACCCCAGTTGCTTTTGCTATATCGGTTTGGGATCCTAGCAGATTATGCCATGGGGAATGCCATCTTCATCAGGTAAAACCTTGCTCACTGTTGTGCCAATCTATTTCTCATTGTCCAGTATAACCTCTGCTCACCTACTTTTCATCGTAAGGCAATAACAATGAGAATTCTTCCAATTTCATGGGATGCTGGAATCCAGGGAAATCAAATCTGGAATTGTAAAAGGTAACAACTGGAAAAACACATTGTGCACTTTACCAGATAACTCTGCTATGTGGTTTGTTCTGTCAAGTAGCCATTGCTGTTTTTCATTAAGCCATTCTTAAATAAACCATAGCATTGTCTGATGTTTGAATGCAGTCAATATATTTCAATATGACAAGTAAGAACTCACTTGCAAAAAAAATTTAAGAATTGGGCATCATGCTACAAATCAGACCATACTAAAAACAAAGCAAACCATGGAAAAATTAATGGGGGAATTAATCCTGAATCAGCCTCTAGAAATGTGTTCAATTCCCTACAGATAACAGTGGGATTTTAAAACGAATTGTTAATATTCCTTTTTTCAAGCAAGTTATCAATTGGCCTATAGCAGGAATTGGAAAAAATTGAGAGCCAGATTAAACTGAGATTGTGTTCATATCTTGTGCTAACATGATTTGTGGAACGTGCTTTATTATCTGGTTCATCTTAACCATAAATCATGGTTGGGTCTTCATTTCTTGCAACAAATAAACAAAAGTAGCAACATTTGCATTTCTTTATATATTGCAACAAAAAGTCAACATTCTAATAAAGATTAGATTGATTACAATAGAGGTGTTGATGTTTCAAATTTAAAGTATTTACTGATCTGAAAAAATTTACAACTATCTCTGAGCAAGTTGTGCTCATAAATACACTTTTGCACTTTGGTAACCAAAAAAGAAAATAAGTGGAATCTGAAATTTCAACTCTCTCTTTTCTGGAAAGAGCCTATCTCTCTGTGTGTTCAATGCAAGTCCTGCCTTACCCTCTTCCAGCCCAGCCTTGGATGGTTATCCATTACAGATAATTTCTAATCCTATCTGCAATGGAAGTGTCCATCTATTCAATTCTGCTTAATTAACAGAAGTGACTTCCCCTTCTTTAGAAGTGCCCTTCTTCCTCCAGCTGGCCATTTACAATCTATTGACCCCTTGTACTGGAAACAATTAGTGTCATGGCATATATATATCATCAGGTACAATTAGCACACTATCCAAGTTCCTTTACCCCAATGCGGGAAAGACAAGGGAAAATAACAAGAGGTACCCAATCGCTTCCAGTCCTTATAGGAGGGAGGGAGGGAGAGAGGGAGGGAAGGGACAACATTGAAGGGGGAAAGGTCAAACAATCAGAGGAAGAGCACACGACAGCGACAGATATGGTTAGCTTCGAAGTCCCCAGGGTCTTGTTCACTGGAAGCATTTCTAGCCCCTTTAGTCATCTTCCAGGTGCTCTTTGATGTCAGAAGCTTTTGTTAACTCTTCTGGTCCTTTTACCAAAGCTTCCCACTCAAATGCAAACTCCAGTGGGCATCTTTCTCTTGCTTTATTTGGTTGATTTCAAAATGAGAAAGGATAGCGCAAGATTAATTTTTAAGAAGAGCTCTCGCCTTCGACTTATGAAACTCTCGTGACAAGACAGCAGCCCAAACTCCCATTCTTTCTGTCCAAGCATCTCCAGGTTTTAGAAGGTGCCTTGTGGAACAGTTGACATTAATCATTGACTAGACCAGGGGTCTCCAACCTTGGCAACTTTAAGACTTGTGGACTTCAACTCCCAGAATGAGGAATTCTGGGAGTTGAAGTCCACAAGTCTTAAAGTTGCCAAGGTTGGAGACCCCTGGACTAGATTATAGTTGAGAAGATGGGTCAGGATGTTAGGCCACACACGATAAGGCTGACTCATGCCACATCACACTTTTAATGGTAGTCATAGAAAATGGTTCTGAGCCTCCAGTTGGAGCTAATCAACCCATCTCCATGGCTCAGAAAACTCAGTTGTCTAGTGCCTCTCCAATAGTATAAAAAAAAAAGATGTCTCTATTTGGGAGAGTATAAGACCCAACTTCTTCTCCCAAAGACATTGCCATAGTTCTCTGGAAGGATGATGTCAGAGTAGAACAACCAAAGAAAAGAAACACCCTTTAATCAATATATTAGTGGCATTCAACTCTATTTCTTTATTATTTTTAGCACTAATCATGTAAGAAAAAGGGATGCGGTGGCTCAGGGGCTAAGATGCTGAGCTTGTCGATCGAAAGGTTGGCAGTTCAGCAGTTCAAATCCCTAGTGCTG